GCCCTTCACCCCGCCCCCCCCGGTCGGCGCCGAGCGCTCCACTCCGGACGAGGGCAACACCAGCGGGCGCTGGGCTGAGCCCGGCGGCTCCAGCGTGCCCCGGCGGTAACCCCGCTCCGTGTGGCGCCTCCGAGCAGTCTCGGTTTAGCAGGACCGGCCCGATGTATCAGCCCGCTCCGACCCTCGTGTTCCCCCCGTCCCCCGTTCCCCCCCGCGGTGGATCAAAATGGACTCGACCGCTTGGGCGGCCGCGTAACGCTTCCCCGCGGGTCACGTGGGCGGCGCGTGCCTTATGAGGCCAGGGAGGGGCGGCCATTTGGCTTCGTGCGGGCGGCGAAGGCGGAGGCCCGAGCTCCGGCCCGGGGATGCTCAGCCCCGGCACCACCGTGGCCCTGCGGGTCTGCGCGGTGGGCCTGCGCCCCGAGGTGCCCGTCGTGCGGCTGTGGGGGCTGCTGGGCGAGCGCAGCGCTGACTACGTCCGCCTCCGTCGTGAGATCCAAGCGGCGGCGGGGGCCCGCCCGGCGGCCGCCCCGGCACACAGCGGGCTGGAGGCCGGTGGGGCTGAGCTGCGCACTGGAGACCTGGGCCTGGTGGAGGTGGTCGGGCTGTGGTACCGCTGCTGCGTGGTGAGTCGCCGTGGCCAGGACTACCGCGTGTTCCTGCTGGATGAGGGCTGCACGGTGGTCACATCTGCCTATTACCTGGCGCGGGGCTGTAAGGAGCTTTTCCACCTGCCCCCGGAGGTGCTGGGCTGTGTTGTGGCTGATGTTATGCCCTCTGGAGGCCCCAAGGTGGTAGCCTGTGGGGATGCGCCAGCCTCCACCTGGACTGTGGAGGCGATGGAGTTCCTCAGCTACCTGCATGGCAAGGAGGTGTCTGGTCTGGTGCAGGAGGTGATGACGCCGCAGCTCATCGTGCTTGAGCTGCCTCAGCTTGTGGCGCAGATGCATCACCTGGGCCTGGCCAGGCAGGTCCCTCCCAGTTGGTTCTGCCAGGTGCTCAGGCGCTGCCTGACTTATGGCCCCTTAAGGAACCAGCTCAAGCTGCAGCCTCCAGCATGTTCCCCTGTAACTTCTGCCATGCCACAGCTTCACCATGTTTTGCTGTCGTGTCAGCCTGTGTCACCTGCCTTGGATTACTTTTACCCGCAGCTTCAGTTGGGTGTGACAGAGCCTGTCCTAGTGACCCACGTCTGTGACCCACACCGCATCTACTGCCAGTTGCAGAGCCTGTCCCAGGAGATCCGTTGCCTTTCTGATACCATGCGCCATGCTTATGACCGGTGTGAGCAAGATTTATCACCCACAGTGGGTTCACCCTATGCTGCCCGTGGCATAGATGGCCAGTGGTATCGTGCACTGCTGCTGGAGCTTATTGCTGGGGAGCAGGACCAGCAAGTGGCTCTAGTGATCTTTGTGGACTATGGCAGGAAGGAGATTGTGACCAGAGCTAACTTGCGCCATTTGCCTGTCGAGTGTTTTCGTATACCTGTGGTGACTTACCCATGTGCTCTTCAGGGTATCTCGGATGGGGGTTGTGGCTGGTCCCCATCGCAGACTGATGAGCTGAAAGCATTGGTGCTAGGCAAAGGAGTGAGTGCTTGCATCATGACCTTTAACTCCTTTGAGCATCTCTATTATGTGAGCCTGTATGGGGAAAATGGTGTTGACTTGAACCATCTTTTTGGGGTGCAGACTTGCTGCCTAGTTAGCAGCCGTATGCAGGTCAGCCAAACTGAGGCTCAGGAGCAGCTGGAATTAGAAGAATCCACTGCTGAAGAACTGGAACTGCCACCAGGAGCACCTCCTGTTGCTTTAATGCACAGAGATTTGGCCTCTGCTCCTGTAGGTGGTGTGCGCCTGAAATTGGGTGTGTTCCACGATGCACAGGTCTCCCACCTCCGAGACCCATCTGAGTTCTGGGTGCAGCTCCACGAGCATCACCCGCTCTTCAGGCAGCTGAGGCAGAGCATGTGGAATTTTTATTCCGATGCGACAAAGCTGGATGGTGCTGGGTGGGTCCTACAGCCTGGATCCCTTTGTTGTGCCAGTGGGAAAGAGGATGTCTTTTATCGAGCGGTGATCACCAGTGTACTGGACAGTGGGGTAGAAATACACCTGGTGGACAGAGGCAATACTGAAATTGTAGATCGGTGTGCGGTAAAGGAGCTGCTCCCTCAGTTCAGGGAACTACCTGCTTTAGCTCTGAAGTGTTGTTTGGCAGGTGTCTCCCCTCTGAGAGGGAGTTGGAGTGAAGCATCTGTGTCTGCATTCAGAGAGATTGTACTGAACAAGACACTAAAGGTTTCTTTTTTGGGTGTGCAGGGTGACAAATACATGGTTGAAATTTTTGACCAGTCCCAATTAGGAGAGAAAAGTGTAAGTAAACTCATGGTCCAGGGAGGCTATGCTGAATACCAGAGGTGTGAAATACCTAAGACTCTCCAGAAATCTAATGACACTGTGAGCCAGGCCTCTTCCCTAGCATGTGCTGGGGAGGAAAAACAAATAAATGTAGAGAAGAGGCTCAGAGAAGACTCTGATCTAAAGAGAAGTGATAAAGCACTTAATCCTTACACAGCTGTGACAGTCAGAGAGCGCCCCGTTGCAGCCATTCACAATTCTAAAAGTAGTGAATCTCTTCCTGCTCAGAAGTGTGAGAGCAAAGAAAACTTGCCCATCTGTTCGAGACAGAATTATGTGGAAATGAAGCCAGGCTCCTCTTATGGAGGTCAATTAGAAGTGGGAAGTACAGTTAATGTTGTTGTGTCGTACGTTGAAAATCCTAGTAATTTTTGGTGTCAGTTAAGTAGAAATTGCCATGACCTTAATGTATTAATGGCTGAAATTCAGGAGTATTGTAAAAATTCATCCCACCCACCTGCTTGGCCAAATTCTGTATGTTTAGCCCAGTACTCAGAGGATGAAAAATGGTACAGGGCTTTAATTATTAGTGAAGTTCCTTCTGCAGAAAAAGTAGAAGTCATATATGTTGACTATGGCAACAGAGAGATGGTGTCTCTAACAAACCTCCGCTCAACTAATGA